AAAAAAACCCGGGCGAAGTTATAAAGTATGGTGCCCGAGTCCATCACTGTGACGTCAGTCTCTCCTTTCTCGATTCCTACGTGGCTGCAGCTCCTTCTGGGGTCAGTCAGGTGATGCGGTGTTTGTTGAACATCAGGGGAGCAGCCCTGATGTGGGTTCCAAGTGCAGCCAGGAGGGGCCAGGGTTGGCTGGCTGACAGGAGCCCAGTGATTTAAGACAGCTTTACTGCCCAGAGGGCATCTGGACTTGATGTGAAGGTGCTTAAGGAGCTGGGGGAAGTCTCAGGGCCCTGGGCTACTGGAAAGAGCACAGTCAGCAGAGGGAATAAAACTCTCCCCAAGGGCGGCGTGGACACACTTTCCCGTGAATTGCTCTCTGCCCTGCAGGCTGCCCCTGCTGCCCTCCAAGTACTCGATGACAGCGATGATCTTCGTCATGATGCTGAGCTTTTACTACTTCTCCCGCCACGTGAGTGCCTGCACATACTTCTCTTTTGCTCATGACCTCTCAGGGCCTCCTGAGAAACGGGCCCAGGATCTAAGAACCAAGCCCCTAAGGGTACTGCTTTCCTTTACCCAACACGGCATGTGAACCTGTCAAGCCACCACCTTCTCCATTTTCTGGCTGCTTCCTCAGTGATACAGACAAAACAGTTATTTACCTCTTCCTTCTAACGTCCTCCATGGTGCTAAAAGAGACATGGGGGAGGGGGCAGCAGAGCCTGGATAAAATCTATTCTCTAGGCCACGGGCTCATGGATCTTCACTCACCCTGGCTCTGGGGGTCACTAACACACTGGCCACGCAGCCAGAAGAGAAAGGAAGAGGGTGGGGAGGAATCCATGCAGGGGACTTAGTGCTCCATGTTAGCACAAGTGCCACCCAGTGGCCAGCCAGGGAAAGTACAGCCTCCTCAAGCCACTTCTTGGCCAAGTGGGGCCTGCTGGAAATGGGGACTCCTCCCTGGACTAGGAGATCCTCACTGCAGCTATCTGTAACAGGTCCCAGGAGGCCCCACACATTCAGGCCTTTTAGATCTCTGCTGTAACCACGAGGGCCAGGATCCTCACTGCAACTTAGGGTGGCCTTTTTGATCAAGTGGCTCAAAATTCCTAGGTCTTCTTTCCCTTGCAGTGTAGCCATCTTTCTTACAATTTTGCCATGTGGAGCCCCTCCACTCAGGTTCATTTTTCCT